CTTGGGGGATCGCTAGTGTGGAAAGGGGAACAATTTCATGCCTAAGTGCGTCAGAGGAGAGTACACTGGGAACACGAGCAAACGTTTTTTTCCACCCAGATAGGTTACAGCAATTACCCTCGCCTCTTTAACCTCGTCGCACGCGCCCGCGAGCTCGGTCCCAGGTCCCATCCACGAGACCGTCCGAACACGGAGTTGGTATTGGAGTTTGAGAGGGGGCTGATTAGTGTGGCGTACGTCCACTGTGAGCTCTCACTTCCCGTATAGTGATTATTGGTTTGACCCATTATCCTACCGCCACTGGTTGCGATTAAATACTCATCAGTGAGGGGAGAACAATGTGCTAACTATAACTCTCTAGTAAGAGCAGCTCAATTATAGCAACAATAAAGTCCCGTTGATGGATATGAGTGGGAGTGCTGACAATTAGAAAAGAAGTGTGAACGATATGAAAATGCACGATATCAAAGTGACGCACTCTCCACCCGTTGCTAAATCTACAATAGAGACCTCGCTATTTTAATAGTGTTTGTCTTGACGGCAGCTCTTCCAGCCTGCCAACAGAGAGAGGGAAAAATATCTGCTGGAAAAAAAAAGAAGCCCCTTTGACACTGCAGAAAAGAATTGCGACAATATCCATACAAAGACCCTTAGAAAATGTCAAGGGGGCATTATGCAAAATGGGAGCAGCCTTGACATTATTCAATGCAAACGGGAACAATATTGGTCACTTTGACAACCGGCTCAGTCGCTGTATGTGTAATTGGTATGCTGGTAACTTTCTGAATTTATAGACGTAGAATCCATCCATCTTTCTGATGGACCCACCTGTGAACTGAATATGTATTTCAAACCCAGGCTTTTATGTTCTGTACATTACAGTTGGTTTCATTCTTAAACATTTGGAGACTGCAAGCCCATGCCGAGGCTCTCAGGGTTAGTCTATCGGACTTTGGAAAGCTCCCTTAAGAGCCACGGAAGATGTTACACATCTCTTTAACAGGCTGGTTAGGCCTCTCGTGTGTTTCTGTGAGGGGCTGAGTGCTTTCCATCCTTTCCGCGCTTTATCAGATGAATTAATTTCTTGAAAAATCAAAAGCCTCGCCTTGAACTTGTCGCTCCTTGTTTATGTGGGACAGAAACGCCTTTAAAAAGTTTGGTTATCCGTAGTGTTAATGGTTCATTTTGGTCTACAACAAGCTTGAGGAAAGCAGATTTTATTCATCAAATGCTGGATCCTCTCTGCATTCAAAAAGCCACGGATGCACTGTTTTTTTTTAGCCTCAATAACATCTGCAGCATCTAATCACCTCATCTCTGCCGGCCCGCGTTTCATAACCGCAGTAATCTCCCCCCTATTTCTGTCAGGCTCACTGAGGCAGATGCAGCTGGAGGACAGACAACATTTTAAATGACAAATGTTACAGCCACTGATTAACTCAAAGGTAAATGTTACACCGCTAATTACCACAAGGATATTAGCAGGCAAGCCAGATTACAGCGTGCATCATTCATGTTGGCCCTTGCAGAAATTACACCGGGAAAAGCGAAGCTGCATCCTGATTATTGAAATCGAGAATAACGCCACCGTGCGTCTGATCCCCCGATCTGACTTTCATCCAATTAGAGTGCGGTTCACTTCACATCTGTCAATCTTATTGAGCTTTGATTGGTTTTAACTGCCGTTGCAATCACAGTCCAATGATATGGCTGCTTCTACGGTTATAAAAGTTGACTGGTTGATGTTTCCGTTAACAGACACCTTTAAACCTCACCTCCATCAGGCGCATGGATGACAGAGCGTGGCGCGCATATATATTGCACATGAATGGCCGCAAATGTGCTTGTTGTGTAAGTGAGAGTCCAATAAACCCACCAGTATTAGAGTTGAACGCTTGATTGATATGCAGTATGCAAAATGGCCTCTTTATGGCATAACACAGCGCGGTTTATGAGAGCCGGGGGGGAGTTGAGATATGTGCAGAGCCAGCCACTGGTTACCCCAAGCTGATGTTATCGACAGCACACATTCAGCGAGAATTGCTTCAGAGTCACCTGCAACAATATAGAACCCCCCTGAAGGCCTGTCCCCTTGTCATTCAGGTCAGTCATTTTCGAATTTGTCCAATTATTTAGTGAATACCGGAACAAATAATGTTATTCCCATCAGCTTCAGCGGCTTACGTACGTAAGAAGCTAAACTACTACCAAACTTCAGCATGTTAGATCATTGTGCGCATTGGTCTTGTGACTTATGCGAGTTGCTAGTCACGTTAATCAGATGTAACTGAGTCACACTTGCTGTTTACCTGAACCGTAGCGCGTTTGGTGCTTGAACCTCACTTTTAAAAATACATGTCGATAAGGATGTGCCGTCCCTTGACTGTTCCACTGAAACAACATCTCTTCTGGCGCTAAGATACCCCCAAAAAAACCTCTTGACAGCAAAAAGATACCATTTTTTCTAGAGCAATCACTCTCCTGTGATGTGTCAGCCACATCAATGATCCACCGGTTTCACATATTTCAAAGTCCGGCTCTATAGGCACTGCCAAGATGGCGGCCGCAATAACCACCCACTTTGAGCTGCACGACGCGGGTGATGTTGCTGAGACATCTCGTGGTCCTTCGCCCGATGCTGGGGAACCTTAAACATAGATGCTGATTCATCTTAATGCATCCATCATCATTAATGTGGCTCTTATGTGAAGGCGCAAGTAAATGATGGGATCTGATGCAATGTGTGTTAGTCCAACAGAATGAGCCTTGGCAAAATTATACTTGCGCACTGCGTGTCTGCCTCACAGTTTGATTAGACTGAAGAAGATTTGGATTGTTCCAAAAATCTGCTTTCAGAAATTGTAATGGGTTTTATTCATTGTTTGGAGTTGTTATTTAAGCCCACACAGAATTATAATTGAAAATGGAACTACAACAAAACCACTGAGATTTCTGTAGAGGCATATTGTAAAAATATATCTAAGTTACGATTATTTACTGCATTAACACAAGTGTCCCTGTCTAATAGCTCGCTGTCCTTTCAAACTGACCCTTTGTTTCCATCTGTGGAGGGACACCATCAGAGCGTGTCCTGCCGTATAATCAAACCTGCTGTTTCATCAGACAGATTTTCACATCTGACATATTGCAGATACAAGTGCAGATGATTGAGGGTGTCTATACGGCTCTTTCTTCAAACGGTGTGATGAGCAGCACAGACTGGATACGAAACACACACTCGCCACACAGTACTAATTTCAACCCGTGGTTTGAACCATGTCGGGGGAAGATGGGTTACAGTATTCAGGGCCAGTCACAGAGCTGCGTTTGATGCCCTGGTGTAGCTTTAATAATGTATTACATTGACTCTGCAGTACCTGGTCAGTAAGTCAACACTCCTCTTTTGTTATTCACTGATATTTGGTTTCATGAAACCAAATGGGGGATCCATCCATCCATCCATCCATCCATCCATCCATCCATCCATCCATCCATTGTCAAACCGCTTATCCTGCACACAGGGTCGCGGGGGGGGCTGGAGTCCATCCCAGCCAACTTCGGGCGATAGACAGGGTACATCCTGGATTGGTCGCCAGCCAATCGCAGGGCAACACAGAGACACACAACCATGCACACTCACATTCACACAACTACGGGCAATTTAAAGTCCCCAATTAACCTGATCCCCAGAGCATGTCTTTGGACCGTGGGAGGAAGCCGGAGAACCCGGAGAGAACCCACGCAGACACGGGGAGAACATGCAGACTCCACACAGAAAGGCCACTGGGCGGAATCGAACCCAAGACCTTCTTGCTGTGAGGCGACAGTGCTAACCACCACGCCACCGTGCCGCCCCCAAATGGGGGATGTTCAGTGTAAATCACACAAGGCAGGCAAGCCTTTTAATGCATTAGGCACCCCTCACCAACTCACACACATGCACACATTAAGCCAGATAGAGCCAGGAATCACAGTAATTAGAGGCAAAACCGGTTCCTTTTAATTAACTCCAAATGCATTAGACGAACGCAACTCAAGCTCACGCAGTCTGTGATTTCCCGATGATTCCCCACAATTACCATGTGTACGGTGACATCATAAGAGGAAGTATCAAATCACGGTCTGATTGGTGGGATAAGCCAATCACGATCCCTGATCCATCTGCTCCTACCACAGACCGTCAAGATAAGTCAACTAATGGCCCATAATGCAGTAAGCCGGTGGGGTTTCATGTTACAGAGGCAATGCTTTAGCAGGAAAAGAGGCAGTTGCTGAGATAAGTCAGGAGGAAACAGATGTTGAGATGCCATCGTCTTTGCACGAGAGACCCACGGCCGCGCCGTTTAAAACTCGCCTCCTTTTATCATCCCGCTGGTGATGATGGTGGTCCTTGGCTGAGACGTCATCTGCTCCCGGTCCCAAGTGCACGGCTCTTTGTGCGCGACACTGCACGCTCGTGCTCCTCTTGGTTTGCAGCGCCAACGCGATACTTGTGCAGCCAGGGCCAAATCCTCTCCGGGACGCACACGCACGCACGCACGCACGCACGCACCGGCTGCAGCGGTTACGCACGAATGCAACTCGGCGTCCAAAAACCTGCCCGAGTTCTTAACGTGTGTTTCTTGAATTGCCAGCCCTAAGAAGATGTGGTGCTGTTGCGTTTAGAAGTGCGGGTATGTGCGAGGGGGAAGGGGGGTGGGGGTGTTGTTAGAGAGGAGGGGGGGTCGTCCTGCGTTCGCAAATGGTGCAACTTCTCTTCTTTTTTTTTCTTCTACCTCCTGTCAAGTTTCCACAGCTGGGAGCCCCGCTGAGAGCGCACCGACCCGTCCCTGCTGCCTGCGTAAGGCGGGTCCGATACAAAGCAACACCCGGTCGTTATCTGCACCATGCAGTCAAAGAGACATTACTGCATGCACGGAGAACCAGCGTCCACGGAAGATTTACTGACCCCCCCCCCCCCCCGTCCCCCTCTATCCGATCCCCTCATGAGTAACCCTCACCTTAAAGTCACTGTGCGACGTTTTCAATCTTCGTTGAAGTAACAGTAGGAGATACACACGCCTATTCCGCGGCTCCGCGCTCGCTGTGCGTGGAGGAGCACGGAGGAAGAAGAGACAGCAGTGAGAACCAGCGGTGCTTCATTCTCTCTCTCTCTCTCTCTCTCTCTGTGTCTCTCTCTCTCTCTCTGGTTCACGTGCAGCGCTCCCCACTGAAGAATTAACGACAAACCGATTGGTCCGCGGGATCCCAGGGGTCCCTCTTCGCTGCTCAAGGAGGGGCCAAATATAACCGACGCACAGGGAGGGGATCAATCTATTAATCAAAAATAATTATTAGGATTGAATGTTTCCAACGTGGTCACGATTTGGTACTGACTTGAACATACTCGATACTACAAAAGTAATATGCATTATTGGATAATACGGATGGGAGGCTATTTGTTCAGCTGTATTGGCCCATCTGATTGAAGATCCAATATTTGCAAAAACAAACAGTGCCCAGTGCAGAGGATGCTGATACCTCACCGTGTCTACATGACCTTTCCGACAACGCCATCAAGCCAGGCACTTAACTTAGACACGAGCTGCTGTAAATGGGTCAGAACAGCGAGAGAGGAGGAGGAGGAGGAAAGACTCGTTTAGGCCTCCAGGCCATTTAGTGATTGCATGAGGGTTTTTATTTCAAAAGATAAATGATACTAAGCTGATACTTTGAAATCATAACCTGCATTAGTTCCATCCCCCTGAACTTATGGATGAACTGCTGAAAACGGTGTAACGTGTGCTCCTGCAGCATGACAACGTGTGAGGGGAAGAGGAGTCACGCAGCGGCAGGCTGAATAGGTGTGCATACAGTATTCGCGCGTGCAAACGATAAGTCGTTGGAGCTCTTTTTTTTTTTTGTCAGTTCCTAACGGGGAGCGTCACTTTCACAGGCGCTGAACAACACCTTGGGTGTTAATTTCTTATGATGCATTCAGCGCTGCTGCTCCCACAGAGACAGAAACAGACCGAGGCTCCTTGGAAGCTCAGAGCTTCTTTATTTTGAATGTCATTTTGAACTTCGGCCGTAATGTTCCAGTTGTAAGAAGATAATTTGTGGTGCACGGATTCTATTTAAACTCAGCTCCCACTTCATCAGCAAAATACAGTAAACTCCCCATTAAGAGCTGATTCATATTTATTACATGGTATATTAAATTAATTTTAATCTGAGTCTAATAAAAATATGTTTTTTTTAAAGCATAATTTGTTGTTTTATGTCATAGTTCACAGTGTTTCACACATTTACTGCTGAAGCACTTTTGATGATGATTCGGCTGCTTGCATTGTAGTGCGAGTAAATTGTACTATTCTCCCCAATATTTTAACTTGTCATCGTTTTTGTAAGATAGTCCTGTTAAGTCGTTGTAAAGCGGTGACACTTGGTTTTTTTGGCAGGCTTGAGTTTCAGCACCACGGTCAGTGACACTGATCCAGGCCACCGACAGCGGGAGCGAGTGTTTTTTAACCGCTCAGCCCGGAACGCCGACACTAGATATAAATGTCTTGACTTTAAGGACCTGAGATGTCTCGTCTACTTCAGTCCACTCGGGTTGAACATTAGCGAAAGTCTTTTGAAAATATTTTGACTGAAAATCCACCTTATATTACATTAAACGGTTAAGTTTCAAATCATGTCGGCAACTACTTGGGAAGGAAAAGGATGTGCTTGCCATTCATGTGCCATAATACGCACACTCCAGCATGCACGCCAACCCCAACAGCAGCCCTAGTGGCCTTAATATGATTGCAGAAGGCGAGTGAGTGTATTAAACAGGCCAACCCGCCACACTGACATCTCCTACATCGGCATCCAGCAACCCTCTGGCTCAAGCATTGTTGAGTGTCTCCTAACAATGCATCGATGCCCCTGTGAGGTGTAGAGAGAATTTCGCTCTAGCGTTGGCCTCATTATGTTTGTGGCATCTTTGGTAACCGATTGCTGTCCAGCTCAGGCCCCCATAACAAGGCCAGCGAGATGTAGCCGAGCACCCTTTCTCCTTGAAAGGCAGCCTAATGAATATTTATAGGTTCATTGGGTCAAAGTTTAATTTCCGCATTTTCTACACAACACAACACAGGGCCTCACACATCATGTATGTGGCAGGGCATTCATCACCAGGCTAGAATCGTTTACAGCTCGGCCTTGCGCCACCTGCTTCACAGGCCACCTGCGGATCTGCTTGTGTGTTCATTAGCACTCGTCTGAACTACGCTAGAGCCACATGTCAGAAGGGCCTGACCTCGGCTAACTTCTAATAAAGTCAACCCACTAGTTGATTCTTTTCTTTTTTTTTTTTTTAACCGTGCAAACCCACCGCTTTCCTGCAGATCGGGAGATTGGATACCAGAATTGCAGCGGTCATAAATACATTTGAAAATGCTATTTCCTGGGTGAGAAAAATTGTCAGGATTAATTGAAAAACCTATAATTCTGAGGTCTGAGTGTTAGCAAAGCAGCTATTTAGCATAAGAATTAATCTTTAGAAAACGCAATCAAAGGTATTATTTTTGCACAACCTTTCAGCATATAATACAATACCGAACCATACAACAGAACTAATTGCAGGAACACATTGTGATTACTGTAAAATTCAAGAGATGATTTGACAAATACCAATTCAAAATGATGATAATCATGTCACAAACAAGTAATAGCATTCTTTGAAAAAAAGGGGGAGAGGGAGGCGGAGGGTCAATATAGGTCGTTGTTTTTTTCCCTTCTGTGGCTCTCAGGTTTAACTGTGGTCTAAGTGCATCATCCCCACTGGACAAAATGGATTGATCACCTTCAAAAAAAACACATGTGATCAATCCGCGGATTATCCCCTTTGGCCCTTTTGATGTGCGAGAAACTTGCCGATCCACCGTGGCCTCCTTTTTCTAATAAAGCTTTCATCAGCTGCCAACGTGCACTTTCATGGTGTCTCTCCAGGCTGGCTGAGATCAATAACGCCTATCAGGTATACGGGTCCCTAGGCGTAATAAGGCTGGGGGACACATGGTGAGCAGACAACACGGGAGATCTGGGCGACGCTCTGATTGGATATAGACCCTGAATTCAACACTGAGACATGACACTGTGCTTTCACATGGATGTAGAAGATAATGCATCAATGTACTGATGTTATACTAACTAATGTGAATCATACTGCAGAATCAGGAGCCATTGGTGGGAATGGAGTATTTGCTAAAAGGAAGCAACCTCATAGTGAGTGTATGAGATGCAGGGTGCAGCTGTATTTAGATGACGCTGTGGAGATCTCACAGACTGTGTTAGTTGAGTGTGATATCACCCCCCCCCACCCCCCTCTCCCATCAGCCTCAGTCAGCCTATCAGGGTTCAACATGCACATACATCATGTCAAAAGATCTACAGCCCTGCTAATGTCATGCATATTTCATCAAACAAGCAAGGCTGTGGAGCCCGTAGCTCATATCACATTGACATCTTTACTAACCATGACGAAGTGATAGACACACAATGCTATCTCTGATGTAAATGTACCTTTTAATGTGACAGACTGACTGATTGTTATCCTTTACCATGCAAACAAACACAGACACAATGCAGGCACACAGTGTTATGTCACATGGAGGATACTCCTAAAAGAAGCAGTGACATTTTTACCTAGCTGTGCACATTATTTTGCAAAATAGCACATGTCACGAGAACCTTCCTGTTCCCCGGGAACTTTCTGCACAATCAGACAATTCTTTTTCTTTTATTCTTTGACTAATGTTATCATGTCAGAAAGAATAATTTTATAAATTCAGGGCTCCTACATTTGAAGCGTTACATATCTATTTCACTTAGATAGGATGACGGATCTTCTAGTGAACACAGAGTCAACGGCCACATCTCTTTGAGGCTGTGCACATATCTAAATGGTCCTCAGGCTAGCGGGAAAGTTAGAGGATTTTGCCAAACCATGAAGTAGCTATTAGTCATTTCAAGTGGAATTTTTGACATGGAGTAGGCATAAGATAAGTCAGGAGCTCACCAAAGCCATTAGGATTTATCCTCCAGGAATCATGAATTTCTGAAAAAATGGTCCTGGCAAGCAGTAATAAAAACATTTTGACCTTGTGGTGCACCTACGGGATCGATAGCAAGGAAAAGAGAACTGAATTCAGTTGATTTATCTTAAGGGCACCATGAAAGTCAGTTAAAATCTTTAGGGCAAGTCCTCAGATTCTTGAAGTATTTCAGTCTGGATCAATGACCTTAAACCAAGTGCACTGAGATGGCGGAAATACCGTGTTTTGTTACAGTAAAACATGGCCATGAAATCAATAGAACCATGTCATGTCAGTAAATATAGTGTGCACGGAGGGTGTTCCACCCTCTTTTTCCACCTTGTTGTGATTGGTGATGTTTGCAGTTAAGCATTCAGCAAAGCAAGTTGAGGTTTATATAAGACTCAGGTCATTAAAAATGAATCACAGCCATGGGTTTGATGTGTTTGCTTTCAATACTGTGTTTTCTTTCCTCCTGAAGAAACCTAAGGTGTCAAGTTAGCGAAGCCAATGATTTTGTTGTTTTCGGTTCTTGTTGTTTTCAACCGAAGAAGATGCACCTGCCTGACCGATTTTCCATCCTCAAACTCATAATTCCGTGTTAAAATCCATTTCTGAATTAGTGTTACCGTCCAACTTTCCCGTCCGCATTACCGATTAACACTTCATGACAGATCTGTCGTAAAATACAATAGTGCATGAAAAAAATGTGTGCAGCGGTGAGGAATTGATTGAAGTTGCCTATTAGTTTCATTGATAACCAGCGCGAGGAAACACACCGAAAGCACAGGAAGGCCTAACACATCTTCCTGAATGGAAACAGTCCTATTATTCTCTGTCGGCTGTCCCGACGTCGGTCCTCGCCATTCATCTCCGGGTGTAATGACCAAAGAAAGAGCAAGACGCTGCTCTGTCAGGAAGATTCACTGCCAATTTGCCAACATCCTTTTTATAAAGCTCCGCTCTGTGCGGCGGCCCGAGTGGACGGTTCCAGCGTCCTAACTCCTCAATAATCTACACATTGGCTCGTATGACGGTGAAACTCTGATCGGGAACGACTGTGAGGAGATGACTTCTCATCAAAGACTTTAATTTCACTGGGTACGGTGTCAGCAGGTGATGAGTGGCCGTTTGCAGTTGGATTGGAATAGAGTGTGCTAGGACATGTGATGTGGGGCTGAACGGTATTATGGCTGGCGGGGCTGTTTTTTTGAATTGATGTTTTCTATAATGCAGTAAATGTATTTGAAGAGACTGCTTGCGTACGATCGATCACCGTTTGGGTTTCTTTGCCGACACGAGGAAGCCATCGGGTTTGAGTGCAGCAGCGTTGTGCCAAATTTGATCTAGGATATGAAATCTTGTCCTGCAGCAACCTTTATCTACAGTGCATACTCTGTTCGCCTCTCCTAAGGGGACAATGCCCTTTTCAACCCAGCGTATTGGCAACATCTTCTTCAAGGTTTTGCATTGTCTCTAAACTTTCATTGAACCGCGACTGGAAAAAAAATGGACAGATGTCAGTTTCCAAGAAGCACAAACTCACAATGCGATCGCCATTTGCATCGGAGAAGCAAGCTCTTTCCCATAAGTATTATCGATAATACAACTAAGAAGGTTGTTTTATGATATTAAGTGGCAGAACTGATGGTATGATCAATCAGTTTATGGCACCAGTGAAACACAAGATGAACCTAAATCACTTAAGGCGGCACTCAAAGCAAAGGGCTCTAACTTACATTCTAGGCTTTCTATTTCCACTGATCAGTTTACTAAAAGTGTTGCATACGTGATTAAATTAGACTAAACCTTGTTTGGATGTGCAGTAAATACTGACGATGTGCATCTGGAACCAGTGCACAAGACACCTTCCAGCACTTGTATGAGGCAAACCTTGCTTCCAAGTCAGTACAATGAAAACCCATCAGGCTCTGAATAGACGTGGAGATAATGCTCTGGCAGTGGGAGGACGATAGCACAAAGACAGTAAAACAAATACACAAATTTCAAGAAGAGTGGTGTTCGAGTCATTTACATGTCACAATAGTAATGTTCATGTTAGGTTTTTTTAACTTAGTAAAAAAAAAAGTAACTTAGTTTATTAGTTATTTTAAACGCCAAACATGTGTTTCAGAAACATGCCTAAGTGGTTTTATTGCTTGAACCTAAATAAGAGTTTTTTGTTTGAATTCACAACATTAAAACACTTAGTTGGAATCTTAAGGGTTCATGACAAAGTAGACTGAGAACATGTGGTCGGATCTTAATCTAAAAAACAACCCAAATACAACATTTAAAAAAATTGCAATAGTCAATTATTAAGTAGCTCGAGTGTAGTATTATTAAATGTCATTTCCGCCGATTTCTCAGCTGATTATCGCAAAGATTGCATCGAACCAATTTGATTCCAGACAAGTATTCCACAATATAAAAACCAGGACACGGGAGAGCAACGCGCGGTTTGAGTCGGACCAAAAACCAAAAACAAAAGTCATTCTATAAGAAGAAGAAACAGCGAGATCCACGTTGTAGGCGCGCGTGAGGCCGGAAACAAGGTGACTGGCGCCATTGCGCGGCATCATGGAACATTACACGTGTCAATCCAAAATCCCCAAATCTTCATGTGTAAAAATAAGAAACACACATAAATATATAAACGTAATAAGAATGAAGGACACCACAGGGGTAGTTTCGTGCTTTAATGATCGGTTTGTTTATTCGTGTTTTGCCTAAAAACAGCTGGACACCCCCACACAGTGTTTTCCATTCCTGCCTCGACATCTTAATAAGCCGCTTAGCCTCTCACCATCAAATAAGCGAAGTCAGGCGACACTAACCCGGGTTATTCACGACAACGGGTGGTCTCTAAACCGAGTTAAATAGCAACACCGCACCGCGAGGGCTACTTTGAGAGTCCATCCCATTTCCTGGACAAAGTTCCTGAGGGACGGGCCGAAGGAACCGGGCATGGGAAAGTTCTCCCCGCTTTTTCCGATGACATGCGTGTGCTTTTTAATAGAAAGGCAGGCGCGACGCGAGCGGAGCCGCACTTCGCAACGGAACGCCGAAAGCTCACCGAGTGCCGAGGACACCAAACAAGGAGACGAAGGGCGCTTCACGAGAGAGAAAGGTAAAGACACTTTTCAGACGAGGGACGCGACTAGATCTGACAGAGCAAAACAAAAAAGATCTGTTTAATTAAGACGCAATCGCGCGTTTCTATGTCTAGATAGTTCTATTCAGAACTCTGATGTGGTTTTTATTCCCATTTAAGAAAAAGAATGTCAATATCAACGTAGTGTTTTTCACTTTTGCTTGGGTCATCCTACTTTTGTGTTGTTATTTCATTACTTTCTGGGATCATAGGATGGACCTCAGAATCTTAATTATATCAGTCCTTAATATTGAGTTGTGTGGTTAATTATCTAATGAGCCTGCCTTGTTTTATGTTTGTTTAATTCTGTTATGGGTTATAAGCTACAACATGACTGGAAATGACTTTAAACGTAATCAAAGGTTGTGTGACTTGAGGTGACTGTTGAACTAAAGATTTCTTGGCTAAAGTGTCGTATTTTATACTGGACATATGGCGTATGGCGAGCTGTATATGTTTATTGCGTGGAATATTTGGTACAGAAAACATGAATACCAGCAGGGTTATCTGACCAGGATCCCTGACCGGCCATTGTCTGGTCTCTTCCTGTCAGAAAGTTTGTATTTTCACTCTCAGGTCAGTTTCTTTTCCCACAGGGCAAGAAATAACAAGAAAACAAAAATAGTCTCAACAAATAGACAAGAGCCACAGCAACAGTCTCAACTCCCACACAGGATGTTTATTCAGTTGTGTGTGTGTGTGTGTGTGTTAGTGTGTTTGCACGCAATGCTGTTATCAAATCGGTCCCAGGATGAATGAATTAAGCTAAGCTTTAATTGATTCATAAATGTTTGCACATAATAATCCAGTGTAATGTTATGTAGCCTCGTTTCTCTTAAACCCATTTACTGCAGTTTCACTGTGAAAGCGCACACTATTTCCATTCATATTAAATGTTAACTTTAGTGCCATGTGTTTTTGTTTAACTTCATTTTAGCGTATGGAGGCCCTGTTTTTTACCTCTGGATGATGAGGAGTTGGAGCCCACCGCAACAACGGTGTGAGCTCATGGAACACTTAATAAGACCTAATGGGCAGCCAGATACACATGTTCCCCAGTCAAATAAAGACTCCATTATGCTGAAAGGGTTGGACAGACGTAGCTCATTTGTTGCTTCTAGAACTCATTAAACATGTGTGCTTTGACTCTGCATTCATTACAACCTTTGAGGGAAGAATACATGAGTTAAGTGGCACATTCAGCCGAGCTGTTGAGCAACGGAGCGATTAACGAAATGTGACCCGCAACTACAACTAAACCTGGCACCAGATACAACTTGGACCTGTAAGCCTTGAAGCAGCCTGACAGTAAACTTTGACAACCTGCCCTTATGTAGTTTCCTCAGTTGTATTCCAATAAACACAACAGGTGAGCTAATTTATTCCCTTATTCTCCCCCCGTCTGTCCGTCCGTCCTGATAGGAGCAGAGGATGTCCAAAGCTGACTGGTCCTACCTACAGCACCTGCTGGAGGAGGGCCAGGAGTATTCGACGGGCATCAGCCGCGTCTGGCTTACCGTGCTCTTCCTGTTTCGCATGCTGGTCCTGGGCACCGCCGCTGAATCCGCCTGGGACGACGAGCAAGCCGACTTTGTCTGCAACACGCTGCAACCCGGCTGCACAGCTGTGTGCTACGACAGGGCCTTCCCCATCTCCCACTTTCGCTACTTTGTCCTCCAAGTCATCTTCGTCTCCACGCCGACCATCTTCTACTTTGGATATGTGGCCATAATGGCCGGGAAAGACAAGCAGAAAGAAGAAGAAGATGGGAAGGAGGCGGAGGAAGGCGGTGGTGGAGGTAGAAGTGGAGGGAGAGCATCAGAAAGGGACGATGACAATGTGACCAGAGACAATGCGCCAGAGAAGGAGAAACTAGGGGGCGGTGGCAGAGGTAGGCGAGCTGAGAGGGACCCACCTGCCGCTCCTAAACTGAAAGGAAGGTTGCTGTGCGCATATGTGTTCAGCATCCTGTCCAAAGTGCTCCTGGAGGTCGGCTTCATCGTAGGGTTGTGGTTCCTCTACGATGGCTTCTACATTGCAGCGAAGTTTGAGTGCACCTGGTCCCCCTGTCCCCACACCGTGGACTGCTTTGTGTCCAGGCCCACGGAGAAGACCATCTTCACCATCTACACCCAGGTGATTGCTGGCATCTCCCTGCTCCTCAACCTCGCCGAGCTCCTTCAGCTCGCCGTCTCCCACCGGCTGGCGAAGTACTACCGTACCCAGACCCAGGACCACCTTCCTCGATCCAAGCAGGTACCGGCTAGACAGGAGGCGGCTTCCGAACCTCCGCCGGATTCATCCAGGCCTTACAATGCAGGGGGTCATGTCAACCCCCCCGGGCCGGGGGAGGCTCCATGCTACGCCACACCTTGTGAGAGCTACGGGGACCTGGGGATCGAGGTCGGCTGGGGTCCCAGGGAGGTCGGGAGTGACCTGCTTCCCAGTTATGTGAACTGCATAGGGGCTATGAAGACCCACTGCCCAAAAGTCCATTATAAGGCACACCCAAAGCTCCCTGGGAAAAAGACTAAGGGTGTCCATAAGGAACACTCGGGGAAGAAGCATTACGTATGATGCAGTCAGAGTGGGGACGTTTATTTGCTTACGACCACGGAAGCTGTGTTGTTGTTGTTGTTGTTTTTTCCAGGTTCTTTATTTAAAACATGAACCCGCACATGACACTCGACTGCTAGGAGTGCACAATCAGAGCTCAAACAAGGAGGGGGGGAGGGGGGAGAACAACTATTGCACTGTGAACTGGATGCCTCAGAGGCAAGCAGAAAAGATTTACCAGATAAATGGAACCTTTTCAAAGGAAACATTTTGAGAACACTCCCCAAGGCGAAGAAACCGAGACACCACAATGAGATTACAGACATGAGACGCCTACATGGCAGTGGAAAAAACTGTGCAATGGGGGGTCCGCGCTTTAACTAGATTTAAGCATATTCCTCTGGACCCCCCCCTGCTGCCTTCTCTTTCTCCCATGGCTCCGACCACACCGTGGAATGTACTGGTCCCCGGATCCTGCTCTGCTCCCCAGAGGATAATGGCTGCGTGGATGCAGACATGCATGCATGCACTCGCACAATATGTGTCCCCCTTTCACCCAGTAAGACTTCTAAGCCCCTCAAGTCGGGGACGTGGGCCAGGGAAGACGAGGTTTAAGTGAAGGAGAGCCAAACTAGAGGAATTCTGGGATTGTAAATGACTTATCATTGCCGGTAACCATGGTGATTTAGCAATGAGGAACCAGGGAGGGAGAGGACCACCGCATACTAGTTCATGAGAGCTGAATAATGGAGGAAGACGTGCATCTTCTATGAGAAGGAAACATTTTTCCAAGAGCTTGAGAGAGATCAGTGATGCATATTGGATGGACTGAAAGTAGTACACATATGTGCAAACTGAATTAAATGAAATGACTTCATTATGTGAAAACTGTATTTAATGTTTAAAGTATTATGAAGAAATACCGGATTTAATATTTATTTTTTGTGGAAAATAAAGTTTTAAAGTTTAAATTAATGATGACACCGTCAAGTGAGGATTCATGTCTATTGTATAATGACGCATTTACCAAGAGGACGCTACAGAGACGACGTTTAACACGAGCTGGTCTCTTTAGTACAGAAAGGTTTGATTTTCTTTCCCTTTCAGAATATAGGCCTGAGATTTCTGTGTGAGGGAAAATGTCTCTGAAGTGTGTATAGCGTCCCTGCCCAACTTCTGTGTCCAACCTCTATCCAAATACTGTCACAAAACGGAGGCACTGAATCACTCAAGGGAAAGCGCTTTGGCAATAACAGAGATGGAGGTACGGAAAAGTGAATGAGATTTACTGGCTATCGTGACCGTAGCCTCCTGACGGGGAAAATGGAAGGAAATAATTTTGATTTAACGGCTGTTTTCAAATCCTTAGCTTGCAGTACAATCAATTATATGCCAGTAAAAGTTCCTACAAGGTGGAACATCACTTTGCGCTGAACCTCTTTAACATCCTCTGGGGAGTCCCGCTTGTTAATGCTGTTTTTGTGGAGAGCGGCTGATAAAAGCCAACACCTCCAACAAAGGGGCCTCGCCCGCGCTCCGAAAATGAACGCTGCCATATTTCTTTTCTTTTCAGGGCTGCGGCATCTGCAGTACGCACACATACACAGCAAACGGTCTCCATGACAATAAGCGGGTGTCTATTGTAGGAAAGGGTCTGATAAAACAAAGAACTTGAACTGTGCGAGGCCAAACAAGAATAAGTAACTGAAATTACAAAAGATATAAGGATAATAATAGTAAAAAGGAGTTAATCTCTCCTCATTGTGGGAACCACCTCTTTCTGGATGCATTGGCAGATACTGTTGGAGAAGAATGCAAACAAGAGCCTGCTGAAGCTGCCCAGTTCAATGTCTGCTCCCCGCAACTTGGCTGGCATTCCCTCCCAGGCTTGTTATCTCGGCGCATGCGTGTCGGTGCATCCGTGTGCGTGTTGGCGCGGTTGTTCGTGCGTGTGTTTTTCGCAAAAAAAAAAAAAAAAAAGCCAGCGGGTCACGGAACAGATTTGCAGGTCGACTCCGCTGCCAACCTGAGCCGGCAGCGGAAGAGCGGAACTCCCTTTCCATCCACCTCCCTCGGCGCCAATCAGGCCGGAGGAGCTCGACGGCCGTTACGGGTCGTAAGATCCGACAGAAAAATGTCCCCTCTACGTTTTGGCTACCTGGTTTTCTGTGAGCACATCACTGCAAATCTTCCTAACATTCCCGTCTAGACAATTTCCAAATTAGACGCCCTCTGAAGACGTTCCAATAAAAACGTCCGATTATTTGTTTGTGCACAGCTGGGTTAATAAAAGCAGGGAGTCATTAGCCGGGAAGTCCTCAATCTGTGCGACAGGTCATCCTTAAGGGCCGCACATGAGTCCCCCGGGAACAGCCGCCGTTTCCTGACATTGTTGAAGTCACCGCTGATGCATTTCCTCACTCTGCTGGTGGATCCGCATGGCGCTGATCACAGACAAAGAAAGGCAAAGTCTCACATTCAGTGAATGAGTGCACCCACACACACACACACACACGCAGACACAGGCTACAGTATAAGCGCTTTTCGAGGGCAAAGCGCTTCAAAGTGCTGTCAAGTGGCCTCAGAGCTCCAGCAGTTCTTAAAAGCTATAGACTGTTCTGCCCAGAGGCCGCGCTCCGTACCAGGCGCCGGGCCCCGGCCGTCTTCAAAGGGACAACCTAAGTCCCGGGCCTCTCCTCAATGCGTCTCCCGGTTGTCATGGCGCACGTCCCGAAGCTCAGTCTCTCTCTATAAATAAAACAAGGGACCAGCAGAAATGAAAATAGCAAACTACGGGGTGAATGAGGTTGCCTACGTTCTCTTTATTCGTCGGTAAGTAATGTGGGCTCGGCAGAGACCACATGTCAGGGTTTATGTTTATATTTTAGCGTGTGCGTGTGTTAAAGGCAGTCAGTGTCGTGTGTGCCAACTCCTTTTGTTACACACACACACACACACACACACACACAATACCGACACACTGCATTCTTCGTATCCATAACAATGTCCCTCCCCAGCACCCGGTGCTGAATTTTGGGATATAAGAAGAGCAAAATTTCTTTCAGCAGTTCCTATTTTTAAACGCGGCATAGGAAGTGGGTGTTTCCTGTTCCAGCGTTGTTTCTCCCCGAAGGATCGGGCCGTTTGGGACCGTCCACCCTGACGATTGGGCTGCAGTGGGCATTGTTGCATTGTTTGGTCCGAGCTCCCTCGTGTTGTTTGTTTCTTCAGGCCAAACCATCAAAGGCCAGTGATGGATGAGGGAAACGGGCAGAGGGCCGGCTGCGAGGCGGCTGGCACCGTTTAAACCTCACGCACACGCACGCGCACACGCAGAGAGTGTGTGTGCGTGTGTGCGTGTGTGTGTGTGTGTGTGTGTGTGAGGCAAACGACAGGGATGCTTGTGTCTTTCTTCAGCGGTTGGTTGTCAAATAGAATTTCAGGTTGATTTGAGCACTTTCGATGTCCGGGTGCTTATAAAGCTACAGTAAACAATGTTTTTACATGAACAGTAAGTCTAACTTAATGATAATTATTGCTCCCCAGCTAAACTAGCTAAAAGTGGAGTGAATAATGCCAGAAAGCCAACTTTAAGAGGTATATAAATATTTGCCGCCACCCTGATTCTATTTCTGTAATAATGAAAGTATTTTCTAAGTTTCAATTTGACATACTAAAATTGTTCGACTTCTTACTGGATGGGAATATTTAGTAAACGGTGCCTAATTGGGAAACCGAAACCTCAAAATAATGATGTCAACCACTTAAGTGAAAAGAATATCTCAGAATGTGTTTAGTCTAACCTCTGTGTTGAGCCCCTTTGCATGTTTATGCCCAGCTTCTTCTCTGTGTATACGTTTGATATACAGCAATACCTGTATTCCTTTGTGTGTGCGCTTCAGGGTCAGGGGGGGGGGGGTTAATAGTGAAAGTGGTGTCCTTCTAGCAGGCGGACAGCTCTATTGTTCCTGCAGCAAAGGGAACAGCGTCTCCTGTCTGTCCACTCAGGATGTTGGATTGGACCTTCTCAAAAATCCCGCACCCATTTTCCCCCATCATCCCGCAGGAACAATGGAGCACCTCCGACATCCTCCTCCCTTCCCAGGATCCTCGGTGCTCGGTTCCCACAGTGCCGCGGGGCCATTGTCAGACGGCCAACCTGTCCTCTGATTGTTCCCACGCCGACACGCACACACACACACACACACACACACACATCGCTCTCCTCAATAACTCTCGCCGTAACATTTAGCTTATCCTCCACCTCTTCGTCCTCCCGAGTATCAAATGGAAACTTCCGCCGGCCTGTAAGTAATTGACTCTCCGCACGTGCACAAGCGGGGGTCACGGCAGTGGAGCGTTGTTCCACTGATAGCAAACTCAAGAGAGGAGTACGGGCTGATGACTGCCGATAGCACAGCATTCAGCACTCCGCTGCCAATGTATCTGTGCCTCTTAATCTCCACAATGTCACTAGCTGGCACGGGTAACATAGCGGAATTCATCTGGAAAGGTTATTATCCATTAAGAGAGCTCCTGAGGCTCTCTGCTTCATTATTTAACGCAGGAGCGGAGGAAAAGTTTCAACAAAAGATAACGATTAGTTTTCTCTAAGTGCGTGGAGGTCAAAGCCCGTGTTGGGCACAGGCAACATCGCCAGAGGAGCTCACATTCAGTTCCTTCAGGACTATTTTTCCAGAAAAGAATGACATATTTGTAAAACATAACACAGGAAAATCCCCAGCGTATGATGGTGAATCATTGTTTCTGTTGGACTTCTGTGTAAATCTGTGACGTTAGTGGTAGATTCTGAGATAAAATGAAGAGAGGTGCCCTTAAAAGGATAAAGAGAGTTTTGGCCTCATGTTATTTTATGTATGCATCTAAAAGAATATTAACATGCCCGTAGCCATTGGCGATAAAATGCATCTTAAAAGGACCATCAATAGATGTACAGTAGCTGCACAAGCAGCTGTAATCTGTGTATAAATGCATTGCTGAGGGCGATACTGAACATACTGCACACTCAATCAGCCACTGCAGAAACGCTGCATATCACGCGTATCCACTGAAAACTCCATCCATCATGTAGACGATTTATTGAGATTCAAACATGGGTTCACTCATTGCTGCCATAAGGCCCAAATGAGCCTGTTTCTCATTCTCATCCAGCTCGCTGGGTTTCTTCGAAAAGCGGTTAATTGATTAACTGATTCGTCTTGAATGGGCGCTCTCTTATTTTGAAACAAAAGCATCACGAGTAGAGAGCTGGCGACGCGCTCGGCATTCAGTTTGGTGAGAAGCCGGGTGCTGAACTCACACAAGGATAGCTGGCCGTCCTGCTGTACAACCCGCCGAGTGCTCGGGGGCTCTCTGGCAGACGTGTCGTGCCCCTCACGAGCACCTTTTCAGTCTGCCAGTTTGTCTGAATGGATTACCGTCGGTTCACAGCGACGATAAACACGAGGTTGCCAGCCTAAGCCTGGAGAGGGGAGAAAAAAAGTTTAAAAAAAGAGAAAGGGACATTGGTGTCGAATGCAAAATGTGTCTATTACTCACATGGTTTATTCAACTAATGTTTTTTCTACTTATTTTTTAAATTTAAGACATTTTGATGAAAGTAAATAGGTTTCCTTTGCGGCCTCTCACAATCCATTAAAAAGTCCTTGAGGATTCAATAAGAACAAACTATTTGGATCATAGAAAGAGTGATTTTGTGTCAAACATTCAATTAAATTTGCATTGGATGGTTCAAATGTTCCACATTGAATCGTCATTGTTATTTGCGTTATTTGAGTCAAATGTATCTTTGTTTTTGTTGGTTATGTTTTTCATTTTGTGTATTTTACTGTGCAACATTTAATCGTAAAAAAATAAAACAGAGCCAATTACCGTGACACAGTGTGACCATTTCTCAATAACAACTTTTCATCTAAAATCCTCAGATATGAGGAAAAAAAAAAATCGTTTGTATCTGAAATGGACTGTTTTGTTATGTATCTCCTTGAAAACTCTTCAACTTGCTCTCAGTGAATCAGCCGGTACTTCTGAAAAATGTGGGCTTGATTAAGGACTTGCCGCTCAGACAACAGCTGCAAATACATTTTTAGCCTGAATTGAAGAACTAAAAAACATGACTTTTTTTTATCTTTGTACCAGAGGCAAAATTCTTTGCTTCATCAAACGCGCTGCATGAAAATTAATTTCCTTCTCGAAGCTGAATGAGTCATTACTTCCTTCCTTTGAGTTTGATGTTACTTTGTCCCTGGAAGAAGTATTGTTTCATAACAAGTGGAACCAGATATTTGGTCGGATTTCTAAAATGTGATAAAAACAATCCGAGCCCTTTCAGCTAACATTCCTTTATTCATCATAATTGTTGAAGACGGACAATCATAGTTTGCACACCATCCCGACTTCCTAAAATGAAAGTACAGTGTAGATGTGCCAGACAATAGGACTTAAAGCAGCTTAAACATCTCGAGGGACCACCCACGTTGTCGGCTTATTTTGTCACATACCATCAAAAGGTTATACGAGATGAAAAAGAATTCCAACAAAGACTTTTCCTCCGCTTTTATCTTCAGTCACTTCTAAACATGCAGAAATGATTAAAAAGGAGAAACACTTTCCGACAGGCTCAGAACATGATCTTTTTTTTTTTCACATCTGTGACATCTCTTCAATTACTTGAGTGTGATTGAACAGCAGAGACACAACAACACATGTACATAAAACCATCAAAGAACAAATCTCACCAAACCAGCGCATCAGTTCAGAGCTCTGCCACCCAAAGTCTCAATATGTCAGCTGTTTTTAATTATAGTGTCCTGATTTGGCTATTGATCAATTCGTAAAATCAAGGAGAAGGTCTGGGAATCCGATCCAGCACATATAAACTGATTGACTCAAAGAAGAAGAAGAAGAAAAAAAAAAAAAGACCAAATAAAGATCCTTTTGATTCCCCTCTCAAAAGTATCAGATATTCACACAGTGAGGATGTACGGCTGAGGTAAAAGGGAAGAACTGGTGAGGGAAACAGGGGACAGTGCACGTTAGCTCTTTTCAGGTCGGTTCCTGTTCAGAGCGGCTCGCGGAGTGAACTCCAGTTTCTCCTTCAGGCTCAGCACCTGCGTGCTGTCCGTACCCTCTTGTTCCTGCAGCTTCCTCTCCTCCCTCAGCTCCAGGATGCCCTTCTCCTCTCTGGCTTTCGGGGCCCCCCTGATGAACCACTCCAGGTGGTAGCCCACCGCTCCCACCACCAGGGCCACGGGGAAGGTGACATAGGGGGCGTAGGTCCGCGCCGCTGTCCAGAACAGAGGCCACATGTCTGCACTCTGCTTTGGGCCCTGGAAAAAAAAAAAAATACATATTATATATTAAAAAAATGCATAATGAAGTGATAAGCCTTAATCGTGATCAATAAACTGTTCATATTCCAACCAGTTTGAAACCAAAAGGGATAACTTTATTGAGTGAACTGTTCCCAGCTGTTACATGGATAACTATACGAGCTGGAGCAAAAGAGTCAAAAAGGTTGCGTATACATGCGTCCACTGTTTCTTCAACATGAGCGATGCTAACACAACGTTAGCACGGCGCTAGTGTAGCCGAGCGATGCTAACGCTACGTTACGTCAATACGAGTGAAGCTCCAATCATCACCTTCAAATTCGATTGCAATTCTTTTGTTTCGTGCGTGGCTTCCTACCCGAATTAATAACAGGAATTCAGAGAGGGCGCTGACGGAATTTTAACAAAAAGGCGTACGGTTTAGTTACACGTAACTAATAAAGCAAATTCGAATGTTAATATCTGCTATGGAGTTTGGCATGCCGACCAATACTAACCGGACCAGAACAGGGCTGGAACGAACATCTGTCAATATGCATTCATGTTGACATTATATTCCCTACAAGTATTATTGACAAGTTCTGTAGCAGTGAACTAAAGTTGCTGCGTCAAAGGCACATAATGGTTAAACGCTTTAACACTGGCTACCACAGTAGGCGAACTGTGAATAACGCCAAATCAAGTGATACGCCTTCTATAGACCTCGGCCACCTTTACGACAAACAAGTCCACACGGTGTTTGTCTCTGTATTATTGTCATAATGGCAATAGTTTATTTGTCTTCACTCACCTTTACAGTTCGCACGTTGGTGCAGCAGCGGACATACGTAACATCCGGGACACTGCCTGTGACCTTCCTGGTTACATTTCATTGGCTGACGACCCTCGATTGGCTGCAACGTTTTTATTTCCCGATGTTTTAGCGCCCCTCAGCGGTGAAAAGGGCACACTGCGTTGAGACGAGGAATGTCAAAACACGCTTTTGTTTTAGAATCAATAAAACCTGCACTGATACTGCAATAAATTGATACAAATACAGTGTACAAAACAATACAATCTCTTAACGTAATGATTTACATTGTATTTAATGATATCTTATCAAGCTTATTATCCTAAACTATGCTTAATAATCAAAGAATATCATGTGCTCTGTGGCTTTTCAGTTGATGACAAACCCAACAAGTGTTATAATAGCTTTTTTTTGTTTAAACGCACAGCTGTATAAACAAATACTTCTCGAGATTCTGGTGATCCGCTTAAAAACTTCAACTCTTCTAGAGGCCTCTGTTTACTTTAAAGGCTTATGAGAGATGCTGAAAATAGTTTGTTCCAGCCATCCACCCGGAAACCATAAATTGCAGCTTTGACTACATGCGGGGGGGTTTGGGGGACTAAATATGCTACTGCAGTTTTGGGGTGAGCGGATCCGTAAATGTTCTGTCACACACTCCATATGTTTGATGACATTGATATTTCCACCCGCAGGCCCCAAAAGTCCCTGACCCTAACCCGGTTCCAACGCATCACCCATTTGTGCAGAGGGAAGACGGTTTTTAAAAAATGGGACTAAATCCGAGTCATTATGTTCTCATTACTTCCAAAGTAACTGAAATGATTGTGATCAACGGGTCTCTGTGTGGGTGACCGTGCTTCGTGCTTGGAAATTGTTCTTTCAAGCAGTTCCTCCCTCGCTGCTGTCCATCGTGTAGTTGCCAAAAATGGTAATTGATGAGTCCTTTCAGACAAAGTGAAATGTGCTCATCCCCGGCGGGTAAAACAACACTATTTGTGCCAGTTCTGCTCTTACCACTAACCACTGTACCAGTGCCAGGATTATTAAATCAGTTCCTGCTTATTAGTAAATGAGATTTAGAGCTGCAGCTGGCCAAGAGTTTTGTGTTAAATACAACCATTTTATAACTGCAAATCACAAACTGGGGCTTACGGAGTGGAACACAACATCCTCCCTAACTGAAGCCCAACAGACCCGGCGTTCGCACAAGGCAATTACAAATGTCAAGCATGGTCAGTTGTGGGAAATTCTCTTCAATACACAATAAATGACAATCAGGGCTGTAGGTTAAATCACTGCTGAATCACTTATGCTGCTGCAGCGCTGGCTCACTGCTGCCTGGAACCTCACAGCAGAGCGCACCTCTTGTCCCGCTTCCAAGTCCCCAAACTCGATGGTTTTAAAAAGGGGTCCGTTCAGGTGACGTGTCAAGAGAGAGAACGTGACACGGAGAGAGCGCATTTAGAACAACGGGGGAAGCTAAAGTTGGCCTTAGATTGAGATGGAGGTCGAGGAAAAGGGCCGGGGCGGATGTGACATAGGACCAAAAAGGACGGCCCGGGGAGTTTGGCGGCCTTGGAGAGACGAGAAGCAGGAGGCCTCTTGACACAGATGTGATGTGTGATCTGTGATGAAGCAGAGGAGCAGATGGTGAGGGAGAGAAGCGCCAGATGGGGAAGGGGAAGACAAGAGGCTCTTCTGCTCTTGTGTGCGGCCAATCTGCCCCACAAAGGGGAATTGAGTAGTTGATTTGGGACATTTTGGGGCGAAGGTCAAACGTACGGTTTTAATTTGACAGCTGCACTTTAGCTGGATAAAATATCAATTTTGAGGTGATTTATCTCTATTTAAGTTTTATATCCTTTGTTTTAGAACAGAAAAAAACAGCTAAGAATGTATACTTAATACTTATATACTGTATACTTGCCACATAAGTGTTGACTTTTTACAGTATAGTTAAAAACCCTATAAATCCAGCTTGAACACTTCAGTGAGCATCTTCTTAAAGTGCAGCAAGTTTCATATGTGGATACATCAAGAAGGTGATAGAAAAGCATTTTATTCTTGGAACTAAAAACCATAATCTTGTCTGATTTCAGACCATTTTATTATCTAAAAGTACATTAAAAACAGAACTTTTCATTGATGGGAAAGCAGAAAACCTGAAGACACATTTTTTATTCTTTTGGGTTGTTTTTCCCCCCAGCTTTTCGTTTTTATTCATGGATACTGGCTTACAGGAGTGCATCATGCAGAAAACTATCATAAATTATACTTTTCTAATCAAATCCCCATCAAATCTGAGAGTAGGTTAATTCAAATGTTTAAAAAAGTGGCCTCATTTTGGCTAATTATACACAATACAATATAAAGCAATGTTCAATACAATGTGCAACCACTGCATAGACACACCCTCTGGAGATGCTGAATATTCCTGATATCATTTAATTGGCACAGGAGCACGTTAATGGCTGCATATGAGTAAACCCATCAGGAAGAAAAACACGTGTCAACAAGGCCTCTTTTGCAGTTTATGTAAGAAAAAAATAACTGGGGCTCTATAGCATCAGTCCGCTTTGAAACCCTCCCACCTGTGCCTGGTGAAAGTGAAGCCGTCCGTTGAAGGCTTTAGATGCGCTTTTTATCAGCCAATGAACTTGTTTCAAATGCACGATGAAGGGCATTACATCCCCAACAGCAGCAACCCACGGAATAATGTGTCCCGAACCGACGTGCTGTACCCGCACAGATGGAGGAGGCACTTGTGGCGGAGCAGAGAACACCGAGCCAAACGTGACGCGAGCGTGGAATGATGTGACTGGTCCACGGTGCAGAGGGGGTGCCGTGAGGGGGCCCCAGGCCTCACATGAGCCTGGTGACGGCTCCGGAGAGGAAGTCCTCGTAGTTGAGGCGGATGTTGCCCGTCATGGTGGTGTCCTTCTCCCTGAAGGCCTGCGTCATGCTCTGGAGCTGGGTGCACACCTGGATGAAACGGTCCAGCTGGATGCCGGGTCGCCCGCCAGGCGTGGCGAAGCGTCGCACCAACGTCTCGGAGAACTGCGGACTCAGGTTGTAGCCCATCTGAGCGAGGCCTGGAGGACAGAGCAAACACAGCAGGGGTCCAGAACGTTCCTTTCAGGCTTGATTAATACGAGGAGAGGGGGGAAAAAATGGTCGTCATATCTGTTTACAAAAGGATCCCATTTGTAACTGTATGGTAGCTTCTTTTAAACACACACACACGGCGCTACCTTGGTGCAACTCCATGCCACTGATGGTGCCCGAGCGGTCTCTGTCATATTGCTGGAAGAGCGCTCTCCACCGCTGCATGAAGTCCCAGAGTGCAGAGAAGCCAAAAATGTCCATGCGACCCGAGCGCGTCTTGTCAAACATGTCTGCGGGGAGAGTAGGAGGGACGGGCATTTAGTTAAAGCAAGGCACGGACAACTCTGCTCCGGGATTGGTCGACCCTCCCGGCATCAAGGGCGTCCATCGTCACCAGCCTGCTCCTCGTGTTCTTTAAAAGTAGCGCACAGGGGACACACAATACTCCAACCCTCGGGAATGGAACTTATTAGTCACTGCGAGACGCACACAACTGGTATGTCGAGTCACCACTGCAGACTCCTCTCGACTGCCTGGACTTCAAGAGATTTCAATATACAAGCTTTTGAAATTTAGAGGGTTACAGACTTGTAGAACCAGCCTAATTTCTTTATCCTGCAACACCGTTATCTTTCTATTCTTCCTAAATGTATCCATTTTGTAGAGGATTAGCTCTCTGAAAGTTTTGCATAAACATTGTGTCATTTTTTTCCCTTAAGAAACACTATCGAAAGATTCATAACCACTCCGCGACATGGAGCTGCCTCACCCTAAACCCGTTGAGATTTTTATTTTTTCCGCAACTGCAGGACTTACTGATCATCATGAGGCAAGTCTCGTCATTGAAAACAGACCAGTTGGAGTTGACCAGTGCCTGCTTCAGCTCCTTCAGGTTGATGAAGCCACTGTGGTCCGTGTCGACGGTCTGGAACCACTGGTACGCCTCCTGGTTAACACCGGGGGGGACGTTACCTACAGACAGAGAGGGGGGGGGGGGGTCAGAGTCGTAGTAGAGTGGTGAAGAGAGAAGTGGTGGCTCTCAATTTCAAGATGACCACCACAAGATTGTTTTCCCAGCACGGTTTTGTTCTTGTTTTTCTGCTTTTGATAAGTCTGTCCCGTCATTACATCTTTTGATCTGGTATCATATCAGCAAAGGTCTTTGGAAATGGAATAGTTTATACCATAAATACCATATGCCGAATAAATAAAATACTCAAGTACATTATATATGCTGTTGCTTTTATACATGCAGGGGGAATGTGTGCAAAGGAGAAAAAGGTATAACAAAAAATGTAACTGCAGGCTCAAGCGTTGATGAAAAGTCTTCCCAGTAAGAGGGAGATAGGTAATGGCTTCTGGCCCTGACACTGAGTACATGGAGGAAGAGAAACGGGGGGTTAGAAAATATGATATGAGACGAGGGGACGAGTGGAGGCCGAAATAAATGGGAGAGAGGGAGCGGGAGAGGCGACACTTCAGGGCAGACCCTGAGCGGAGTGACGGCAACAGAGGCTTACAGATTCCGACTTTGGCTGAGACACAATGTAATCACATGTACATGCACCTACACAACACGCGATTTCACCCATTCGTCTCTTATGCCATTTAACCCTCACTCAGTGTTACCACAGTCGCGCGCCCCCCCCCCCCCAGCCCCAGCCGTGTAATCCTGCTGAGAGGCAAAAAACAAACCCTGTCTCTAGATGACTGTCCGGGAAAGTAAATCATTCCCCATCCATCATCCCACCAGAGAGGGAAGGAGAGAGAAAATGAGTGAGAAGCAACGAAGACGGGGAATTAGAGCCTCACCTGCAGGAGCCTGGGGTCCATATTGTCCTCCATGAGGCTGTGCACCGTAACCCCCATAATGCCCAGCGGGGGAACCCCCTTGTGCATGCCCAAACTGCCCTCCTTGACCCGGAGCTCCATAAGCACCATAAGGACTCCCTGATTGCTGCTGTCCACCGCCGTAGGCAGCGGAGGGGTTTGGCCCGTAAGGACCGCTGCCTCCCCCATAGGGAGCACCTTGTGGTCGGTGGGCTCCTCCTGGGTAGCCCTACAGAGAGAGGTGGGAGAAGTTCACTGGGACTGTATGAGAACAACAACAACGAATAAACAAGCTGTGTGGGGGGGAAATGGAGCCTCCGGTAGGATTTCTTGAGAGACCCTTAACCCACAAATACAATTAAATCATTTCAGTACTAATACTCCACAGCCTTCTAGTGAACTTAACTGTGCTAAAATCTCAACACAGCATTACTACCTGTACCAAGAGACAGTCACATTTAGTTTGGGAGGATCTTAACATTACTGACAGCAATAATGAAACGTAACAAGTTATCGCGAGACTTCGCTTAGAAAACACGGATGAAATGCAGGAAACAAGCCATCACAATTGAGTTGGTAATACAAAAAAAACGGACTAACAAACTTGCTAACGCTAATTTACACGCTGCCATGACTTTAAATCCTTCAGTCTTAGCGCAATCTGAATAGACATAACGTTAGCAACATCACCTGCTGAATGTTATCAAGTAGCAACAATTTACATTGATATCCAAGTTAACTATCACAGCGAACAATGCATCGCTAACGTTAACGTCACCTGTATTTGTTACGTCCTAAACCGTCAGTTACGAAATACCAAGGCAATACAACAAACATCAGGGTCATTTAACAATACAAACATGTCGTTTTAAACCACATAGACAAGACACAAAACGCCGTTTTTCGATACCTGGCCGTAGTGGAAACTCATTTCTGACAAGACTTCAGCAAAGCAGCCGTGAAGGCGGATACAAACGAAGGTACTGTGCGGCTCGCGGTTGAAATCTATTGGTGCATTTCCGGGTCTGTCACAGCCGCACCCGCGCCTCCTGCTGCTGATTGGACAGTACGGCGGCAAAGTGGTGACGACAGAACGCAAAGGCGTGAATCACTAAACTCATCACCATCATGACTTCAACCAAACTTATCGACTTAGTCACTCACTGTGTTATTCTGTAATATGTACTGGGAGTCTATTTGAGTGTTATCTTACTCATTGTATTCTAAGGATTTACTTTAACCTCATTATGTGAATAAACGAAATGCTTAACTTTTTTGTTTTGTTTAATAAAAACTAAATGGTTCACTGTCACACACCAAACCTTAATTCATAGTTCTAAATTACAATGTGAATTTTTGGCCAATGATGTGTACATATACACACATCCTCACCATCATCGTCATCATCATCATCATGCATCCTTCCATATATCTGTGTTCATCTTTGTTGTCCTCTCTATGGATTCATCCAAGTGTTTAGAAAGAACAAAGGCCACATACAAATAAATATTTCAAAAGTTAAGTAACTTTATATCTCACAACAATAAATAAACACAATACATATTATATGGTCTCTTTTTACTACATATTTTGTATCATTCCTCAATGTACATTTTGTGTGTCGGTGGCGTCAGAGCTTTGTCTTGTTTCATACGTTACGGCAGTGTATATTCTCGGGGAGAGGGTTCACTCTAAAAAATCATCTCAAATAAATTGTACTATTGGTCTCACAGACGTGCTCAAATCCACCGACATATTCTCTCCCACTCTCTCTCTCTCTCTCTCTCTCTCTCTCTCTCTCTCTCTCTCTCACAAACACTCACGTCAATTTCAATAAACTATCCAAAACCGTTCAACTTCCTCCGCAATCTTCCCTGTTGAGGGGTTATTTTGCATGCATAAGGTGTGCATTCGTGCTGCCTTGATGAATATCTCCGGAGATATTCAATGAGCAACTGGTGCTCAACACCAAGGATCCTTGGTGTTGAGCACCAGTTGCTCATTGGCTCTGATGAATGCTTTTCCACATTTCTTTTTCAAAAAGCTTCATTGCTCTATCGTGCATAATTTTCTCCCTAATAGGCGCCTTCTCTTTCTTGGCGTTACTGAGATTTTGAGTGGAGGCCGTAGGATCGACTCTGGACCTGAACTCCGACCTGGGAACAGCCAGCCGTGTCATCTCATGACTCTCGGCAAACAGTATCCTGTCTGCGTTGTACTTCTTCTTGATGCGTTTCTGGATTTGTTTGCCGATGAGGTAAACTATCTCGCAGATGCACATTAGGATGCACAGCGCAGAGGAGACCACCATGAAGATGGTGAAGATCCTCTTCTCAGTGGGACGCGATATGTAGCAGTCCACCATGTTGGGGCAGGGCTGCAGGGAGCACTTGGACAGGCGGGGCATGTCGTAGCCTTCGTAGACGTAGTACAGGATGTAGAGGAAGCCAGCATCAAAGCCTGCCTTGAAAATCAGACTCGCCTGGGAAAAGATTTCATGAGGCGTCAAACTTGGGAGACACATTTTTCTGGAGGTTTTAAAAAATAAACTTGACAAAAGTCCATCCATGAAGGAACAGAAATGTGATGTCGTTTTTTCAGTCATTGCTAGGCTGAGGATAACAACTATGTGAGGAAGACACATTATCGAACACAGGATTTGTAACCTATCAAACAAGACTCCAATAACATTTTGTATCCTTCATCCTCACCAGGTACGTCCACCACAGGCCCCCTCGTTTCTTCCCGGGGTGCGCGTACAGATGGGCGCCCATGTGCGAGGCGGTGTACTGCATGTCCTTCTTCTCGCGAAGCTTGACGTGGCCCACCACCATCAGGGACGGGCAGGTGACGAAGATGAGCTGCAGGGCCCACAGGCGGATGTGGGAGATGGGGAAGATGTGGTCGTAGCACACGTTGGTGCAGCCCGGCTGGATGGTGTTGCAGACAAAGTCCTTGTTATCGTCGCCCCACACCCGCTGGGCCGCCACCACGAACACCAACACCCGGAAGATGAAGACCATGGAGAGCCAGATGCGCCCGAACACGGTGGAGTACTTGTTGACCCCACTGATGAGGGACTCCAAAGCAGACCAGTTCATGGCTGCTGCCTCAGAGGTGGGATGATCTTCACTTGAGCTAAGGAAAAGAAAAAGGAGGAAAGAAGGTAAGCACTTTGAAAGTGGCAAAACGTAGAAAGTAGATACAGAGCAACTTCTATTCCTCTTTCTATATATATTTCATTTCATATATATTTCAAGTGTTAATGGATTCTTCTGTTTTAATATTGCAACTTCCTAAAGAGGGAAGACATAAACACGACCGAAACTCAGAAATCCTGCATGCTACATTTCCCATCACGCAACCAGACAGTGTATTTCTATCACGCGCTCCCTGCTTGGTAAACGTTTGAGCACCACACTAGCTGTGTTTCTAATACATCATCATTTAAGTGTTGCAATAAAAGAAAGTATTCTTTCAAGTATTTCCATAATCCATTTATCACAACTTTTTTTTCATGATGGCAAAATACTATTTTCTGCAGCTGAGGAAGGAACGTTATTGAATCGCTTGTATACAAAATGTGCATAGGATTGACTTAATAGTGATGACACCACTATGGCATCATCCATTATTTTCTCATATTGGGCAAAGCTCTGTAAATCTGTAAAATAAAGATACCACATAAAAGTATTACAATCATTTTTATTTTGTGTAATTCCCTTTTCCTGCGAGATGGCGAAACAATCACAAAGAAATAAGCCATTTAGAAGTGCTGATCAGTTGTGAGGTAACAAAACTACATCATTTACACAAAAATATTCCTCGTCATACCAGATCCGTATCAAAGCAGCTCAGTCTTTTAAACACTGTCATAATGCAACATTGAGTGAATCATCATTGGAGCCTCCTTTGCTGAAAAGACAAACCAACACTCTCAACTCGATTAGTCAGTTTATTTGAACAGTGAGGCTGATCAGGCCGCCGAACCTCTGTGACCCCATGAGCCCGTTGCAGACTTGGTTCTTCAAAGTGACTTCGAAGAGGGTGCAGTTCTTTGGAGAATGTTAAGCGTGCCTGGATCATACCACGAGACCCACCCTCTGAGACAGAATCTTAGTTAAAATATCACCGTGTGCATTTGACGGTCTGATCGCGTGCAGAGTTTAAGGAGGAGCCATAGTAGATCAACTGCACAGCCATGTTCTGTTTCTTTGTGTGTATGTGTGTGTGTGTGTGTGTGTGTGTGTACTTTCAGATGTCTTTGGTGTGTTTTGGTTGGTTTGGTAGTGTGAATGAGGTGGTGTTTGCATATAGGTGTGTGCATGCATGCTTAGAATGAGTATGCAAAGTTTCCGTGTGCAACTTTTTCCTAGTTATGACATGAGATTAATTCCAGTGCACACGCCACCATCAGCAAGGTTCTTTAATGCTTGTCATCAGTACATACAAGTCTAATCTTACACTAAATTGGACAAAATCATGAAGTTTCGACAGAAACTCCAGTTCGCCTCGAGCTTTAACTGTTGCCACCGCAGACACACCCTGATTCAATTCCCCTGCCACCCTCCACCTGCAGCCCGAACCCCGGCAGCGCCCTCTATTAGCCCCCACTGGTCCCCCGCTTGAGACCCGGGCCGTATTGCTGGGCCCGCTGGAGGGAGAACACACACGTGAGAACCAGAACCAGGACCAACTCTCCTGCAGCGAAACAAAAAGGTTTTCTAAAGGGAATGTGAAACACTACCACCTTTGTCCACAAGGGCAGAACGGAAGGTTCTTGTGGTAGCTTTGAAAAAGTGACCGAAGGGTGCCAACATCTTTGAATTACTGTCTGATCGCAAACACAAGGACGGTCCGTTACCTTCCTTAAGGTTTTTTTCCGATTTTATTTTCACCGACATTAAAATAAAATGCTTCTCTTGCACAATTACGTGGTGCGCCGGGAAAAAGTCGGAATGCAGCCTCGCTGCCGACATCTCCATTTCAAGTCTGTCTCGTCTGATCCAAAGTACGTGAATTCAGAAACTTTTTTTCCTTCTGCATTTTTGGCATCATCATAGCTGTTGAATCAGTTGATACATTCTCTCTCATCGTGCAAGTCCTAACTAATAAATCACACAGCCTGAAGACTAATCTGAGTGAAGGCATTCACAATCACGAAATAGGCCACAGAAAGCCAGATACGTTCCCTCTCTGTCGATGTGCCCTCCCCTTTGAAGCGAAGAATACAACCCGAGGTGTTATTGAGAGCATATGATTTATCAGTGTGAGGTCTCTCCGAAATTCATACAAAACACTCCGGCATAAACAAACTTTGAGGCGACGTTCAGCGCCAGAGAGTTAAAGAAACTCAAAGACAACGGTATATATCTTGTCTCAGGGCGACGGCAAAGCTGCACCACAATTTGTTTTCCCATTTGCTCTAGATTGCAATGTTGCTTTCCGTGCCGACAGCGGCCAGCCTCGTCTATCTCTTTGCCGCGTGTTTGTCTCTCTCTTTTGCTGTGACAGATGAGACGCATCATGCTTACCCAACTGAAAAACATCAGCTTCTGGGATGCATTTGATCCCAATATTCCTGCTCAGTGCGACGCAAATACCGCTCTCCTGGCTGTATTAAGAGTCCAACTCAGTGTGCAAGAGATGTGAATCTCATCAGAGAAACGATCATGATGCTCAGCATCACAGAAACACGTGTAGTATTACTGGCCGGCGTAGTTACATTTGACAACATTTGAATGGTCTTTATCCTCATTGCAGATCTCCACGTGAGGAGCTTCTTGTAGATATCCATCTGATATGGCACAGTGATAAATCCTTGGCCTTTACTTGTTCTGCAGGTTAAGCTAGTTGCATGTATTTCTCCCCTTCCACCACATGTTTGTCTGTTTGAGTCATTGCTTCTCAATAAGGTGGGGTTGCTTTTTATTTCTTTCCCAGCACTGCTTCCATTTGCACATCTCGTTGTCACACCTTCAGCGTTCATTTCTCAAGGTAATGCCTTAAAACACCAGCAATACATAGTATGGTTTAAGTCACACAGCTTCCAGGTATCCGTCTTTTCTTTCTCCTTCGTCTTCACACATACAATGGTGAAGGAAGAGAATGAACAGTAGTCTTGTCCTTTCTGTGTCCCTTCCTCGCACACTGTCTTCAATGCCGGAGCTGTATCTGAACTAAGGTATCTTCTTGATCCAACACGTTTCATAAATAAAGATGCAGCCCCTTACCTTAGACCCAGGGAAGCAGCGTGATAGCGAAGTTCCCCGCCGTGGCCTTGTGTTGACTCACTGACCTGTTCTCACCTCGCCTTTTTTTGTTGAAGGGAGTTTACTTGGGAGGTGTTAACCTGCCCTGAATGGAGGGATGGGTGGAGCGTCACACACCTACGCCCACATGCATTCACACACGGCCAGTTTCAAGTTGGACTTGTTTTGCAAGAGCGGACCAGCAAACGGTTGCTGTCAGAATCGGGAAAGAGAAAGTGTGGCAGACCGTTAGTGACGAGGGAGCCGAAAGTGATGTGAGAACGATAATTAGACCCAAGAGAAAAAAGCAACCGGCAGGCGACAGCTGATGGACCTGGATTTTACATGATAACAAACTGGTGTGCGTCAGAATGCAAAGTGAGCCAGTGATGATTGTACCGTGACAAAAAAAGGGGCTTTTCAAAATGTCTGATAATTATCAAAACGCACTACTTCGGAATAAAAAGTGAAAGAAAAGACAGGGGAAACAACTCTAAGTAGAGGCCTTCTGATGTCAGCAAACAAATAAAAAATCCCCTATGGCATCATAATCAGATCAGATCCGATAACACCTGTATTCAGCTTGACCCCAGCACCCAACACAGTGATATCAAAATAAACACAATCCCAGAAAGAAATAATAGATGTGTCTTTATTGCAAACTATCCCACGCATTCCACAGGAGGGAGAGACATTGAGAATCTCATTGTTTCTTCTTTCAAAGTGATGTACGCCCACTTGCTGGCTGGCAGTCGTTGGCATGGATGCACCAAATACAGTAAGAGGAAGCGAACAGGCAACCAAAGGTACACATAGGAACTTTAGAACATGAATTAGGTTAGGTCCAAAAATAGGAAGAGACAAAAGAATAAGTAAACACGTTCAGTTAGACTGGACCACAAAGCGTGTTGTGCCGTTCGGTTCCTCTTGTTAGATCCTTCTAGTCAGATTGAACCATGCTCAAAGTAGAAAATGCTGCACGTATTATGGGATTTTGCACTGCGAGTAAGCGGACAGCAGAAATACTGTTAGGGTTTCGGAAAGCTCTCGAGGGAGGTCTCACTCCTTTGTTCTCGTCCCGGCCGGAAACGAAGAATCAAAAGCGTCAGCTTGCTTAAATTCAAAAATCAAAAAGTATTTAATAACTAAACAACGTTAGAAGGAATACAATTACAAAGTGAAATACAAAGCGAACAGTAAAATATTTTGCGAAATAGAGAATCCTCTGAGCAAGTCTAAAGCGACTTATCAAAGCAGCTGCAGGAAAATTCTTACAGTCTTTTCCCCACTTTGGTCATTTGAAAACTCTTGAGGTGTGTCTTCCTTGGTGCATTTGAATGTCATTGGCTTCTTCTTCAGAGTGTCCCCTCCTGGACTGTCCCCTTCACGTCGAGGTGTGAAGCTGCAGCTGTAACCTGAAACCTCTCTGTCCTATCTGTCCCTCACATTCCAATGCATTCAATGTAGATACAGTTGGCTTTATGCCTCAATGAGTGAATTTAACAAAGCATGCATCGTTTAAGTCTTCATCTTATAACTAGTACACTTTCATTACAACAACCCATCATTAATGATCACCGTTCATCACACTTCATCATAAGATCTAAGACAGTTCATGTGGTCCAATTCTCAAGACATTTGCCTCAGTCGGCTGCCATACATTAAGTTGTTCATTTACTACCTGACAGGAGAAAAAACTCCCAAAAAACCCTCTTTGGGGATAAAATTGGGAGAAATCCATAAAGGACGGCAATTAGCATCCGTCCCCAGGTTTTAACATCACATTGTGACAGAATGTTAATGTGTACAGTGTTTATATGATTTAAATGACTATGAATTGTGTTTGATTGAAATTGCATTCACTTCATCTAACATGTTAATGTAATAACTAATACCTAATAACACACAAACTATAATTCTAACACTAAACATTATTACACATACTATAATTTCCTGACTAGAGATGCACATCTGGCTTAAATCCCTAACAATACCAGCCGGAGCGAAAGATGAATGTGTTTACAGAGACTATGCTATGCCCTTCTTCGGCCTCTAGGGAACGCTGATGCTCCATCGTTTCCTTGCTTTCTTTTCTGAAGATAAAGAGAGCGAAGGAAAGAGGACAAATGTTCAGCAGACAGAGAAGCAGAGGATCTCATCTCCCCTATTAAAACTAAGCAGCCAAATCATCTGTGATGTACAGGCAGCATCCGAGAAGAGCTACAGATGGGCGACAACAGCCTGACTTGGAACGAGCTATTCCAGATAATCTGCGTTGAGCAACAGATCCCATCTTTAAAATACCAGCGGCCTTTTCGGCGAGTAAGTAATGATGTCACAGTTTCAGTTTCATGATCACTCGTTCTTCATCGGTGCTCTCGTCCCACAACGCAGTCTCACGGCAGTTTGGGAAATAGTCACTAAATGAATTGACTGGTGCAGTGCGCAGGGAAACAAAACGTCAGTCCTTCTGGTGACATTGTTCACAAACTGCCATTTTGAGATGCATATGAAGAATCCAACACATTCTTACACCTGGACACATTCTGAGGACATGTGTACTTCGAGTTCAGGCATTTTGTCGTCGACCTGTCAATCACAGAGAGCATACTCTGCTTTATGGTCGATTTTACATTAAACTTCGACCTTATTTCGTTAAACGAAAATCAGGTTGAACAACTGAGATCATCAAGTCATGTCTACAATGTTTACTGAGGGAATCAGTTAAGTGAAAAACAGGGTCCTTTTATCATGCGCTCCCTGCTGGTGTCCCTATACACGATTGTGAAACATTTCACAGGTGTATTAATTTCATGCAGTCACTCTTCCAGAGCATATCATTATCTACGCCGTAGTTTGCAAAAAACATCTATTAATCCATATGATAGAAAAAACACACTTTAGAGCAGTTTTTTTTCAACATAAAATGATCAAATCATTCATCATTGCCTTGCTAATAGTTGAAAAACACCACTAATGATGTATATGTGAAGAGCACAAAGGCAATTTCCTCCATTAGGACCAGGGCAGGAGCTCTCATACTGAGTGCACACAAACTGCACTCGGTATGACGTGCTTGAGTTTGTTGTGCTGCACAGCCTTTGGAAAAACACCAACAACTCCTATTGCACAATCTTTGTGTTTAAACTTGTGAATAACCCAACATGTCCAAAACACTTAGAACACAATTGAGAAGATAATAATGGATCCTCAAAGCAACAAACAAAAATGTTGCGGCGTGATCACTAACGGCTGAGATAAGGTCAATTCCTGACGTCGTGCAGGCTTGATGTCATTCTATTGTTTGTTCTTCCTCCATTCCTTGCAGCCAACACAATACGCCATGTGAGAAACATTGCAATTCTCTCATTGCTCTTCTTATAATTAGGAAGAACCTAAAAGACATCCGGTTGGTTCTTTTTTTAACCCAAATGATAAGAATCAGCCTGCGCAGGCTGTCAACGCTTAAAATGTGTTGAATGTCTTCGGTTATCCAACCTCCTCGGAGTCATTACTTCAAGGCACCTGTCTGTAAGAAGATGTGCTGAGATCACATTTCCCAAATTAATTCTTAAGGAGCTTTGGTGGAGTAGTGCAGAATCAGCCTGAAAGGTATAGCGACTCTACTTTTTCGGTGAATATATGTGGTGTGACCTGAAAAACACAGAAGTAACTCTCCTGTGAGGCTGCAGGGCAGACTTACTGACAACAATTTAAGAGAGACCTGCCTGAAAATGTGGGTTCACAAGTGTTCCCGGGGCCCAAAGAATAAAATGCATCACTCACGAAGGAATGTGTCATTGGATATTTCCTTCCTATACCAAATAACATTTCAGGCGAAGCTCCCTCTGCACTGCTGATGATCTGCACAATGCCCGCTGTCCGTCCTAGATGCAAAGAGGAGCCTTGTTCTCTCTGTCCTTTACAGGGCTGACTCATTGGCTCAGCATATACTGACTGACTGAATGTGTGGATTAAAACTAGTCAATTAGACAATCTTATTATCTGCTTGGGAAATCAAGGAGGAGGAGTTTTTATTTGGTAAATGAAGCGCACTGAGAGTTTTAATTTCAGGAAAAATTGAGCAATACGAGAGCCTCGCGACTGCAAACTTTGGTTTCAAACTACCAAAGCTTTAAAAATGCAACAAAAAAGGTTTAATTAGAAGATTCCAACAATGCTGCTTCCATCCACGCTGACACGGTCATTCTTTCTACTTTCAAGCCTCGTCTCTCTGATCAACGAATCACCGCCGCGCACTCCGCCCCTCCACCTCCTCTTGTTCCTCTTCCGGCCCAAACCCCCACCGCCATGACCACCACCCAGAAGACCGGCCCTGTTACTGTCACAGTCCCCGCTCAAGCTTGGGTCATTTCCCAGCGCGTCACAGCCCCCCCCAGCACCATGTCTCCACTGCCGCTATGGATGATGTCAGGATGGCCCCTTTGAAGGAGGTGGCCATCTTCTCTCTCTGTCGTTTTTGCGTTTCCTGCCGCGGTTCCACCGTCTCGCTGGGACGCTGGACGTCTGCGGAGAGAGAAAAAGGTTTTCCAGAAGAGATTGACATGGAAAAACACAGAACTGTGTGGGAGCTGATTTACAGTGAGAGCCGCAAATTACAGCAAATCAAGTAACCGTTCATTATACTCAGTGTTCCGCATAAAAAGGAACAACATTCAGTCAAAGTTCTGTTACAAATGTGATTGCTCGCCTGTATATGTCCTCATGCCTCTCCGCTGGGATAACAGCCAATATTGGCTTTCACTGAGTCGATCTTGCAATTTAATAAAATCTTGTCTTGTCTGCCCCGTCAGTCTTTTCCCTCTGCTGGTGAAGACGGGCGGAGTAATTGACGTTCTGCATCTGGGTGGACTGGGTCTAAGTCACTGTGCCTTCACATCACCACGCATTCATTCAGCATTGCCAACACCATTGAGCTGTTAATTCATTGAGTTAGGCCTTAAACCTAGTTTATGCTTCTGCGTTTTCAGAGAGCACGCAAAGGACCTTGCGTGTCCCTTGCGTGTCCCTTGCGTGCCTTTATCCACCTCCTTGCGCGCTCGC